TCTGCGCTCGCTGCTCTTCGGCGCTGCCCCAGATCCGTCTCCCCCGCCTCCCATTTCTTCCCTTTCCTTAAGAGTTACGAGAAACTTCGCCACGCTTCGCGAGAACTGCATCTCAGTGGCTCTCAAAATCGCAGCCGCTCCCTACCTGTCTCTGACGCGGCGGTAGCCGGCGCATCTTCCTTAGGAGAGAGGGGGTTCTCTCACCACAATGGTACCGGTTACAGGTGCCAGCGGGAGGGAAAACGAGCATCTTCTACCCAAAGCGCTCAGCTAGTCTGTGCTGCTGTTTGCACTGGGCCAGCAGAGAAGCGCAGGTACCGCACACAGCTGCTGCGAGGAGGTTGGCGGCCTGGACGCCGCGTCCTCAAATGGCTGCTTGAGGCGGTGGCAAACTTCAGCGAGGCTGAAAAGGAGGGCTCATCCGCTTAACCGTACAGGTGGCTGCACAGCTGTCTTCGAAGCTTGGGCCTTGGGCCCCCCGTACTACTTTCGCAGACGTGTTGCCTCCTGCCTTGTATGTGCTCCTGCTGCTCGTCCAGCAGGTGAGAAATGAGATGGGTTTTACTGCAACTGGATGAGGTCATTATTTTGTGTCGTATATCAGCAACTGTAAATGCTTGTTGTGAGTCTTGAATGGAAAGGAGCTGAATTAAAAATGGAAAGAAATGTTTGTTTCGGTGCTTCTGAAGCCTTTTGTTTACTTTCTGCATAGCAGCACCTTACTCAACTGCAACCATTTCTGCCACCTGGCAAGTTTTTGCAGCGTACGTGTGCAGCACGTGAACCTGCACATCACTGCAGAGTGTATTTTTCAAAGACCATTTTTGGGGTACCATCACACAGATGTCCAAAACGCTCTCCTACCGCAGATGAGGTGACCAGTGATAACGCTAGGGACTCACCTTTCCTACAGGGAAGTAGTAGCTCTGCTACTTGAACAAAGCTCTACTTCGCTCCGCAGACCTGGAGGTTTGATTGCCGAAGTTAAAAATACACAATGGAAGTCTTTAATTCTGACTTTTGGATGAGGAGCCAAAAGTTCTTGATTTCAGACCATCTGACTCATTCAGAGAGAGTATAACAATCAAATTGTGTATAAACTGCACAATTTAAAACATATTATTTAATGGCTCATATTCCATATATCACTTGTGCGTTGTTATAATCATGCAGTTATACCAACTTCTTTCCAAACTTTTCTTGGGAGCCCGTGCCACATATTGTTTTTTCCTTAAGCACAAAGGTCTAAACAAGCCTCAGGCTGAAAATAAGAGTAGCCCAGATTAGGAAGCCAACTTTTGTTCATGTAAATACAAGTGTTTTGAGAAAACATTGAGAAATCAGGTATTTTGAAGTAACGGTTACCTACATGGAAGAAACTGCCCAGGCTGACACCAGTTCTCCAGGTTAGCTTCCAGAATAACGCCAGGACACTTTTAAGTCTACATGATAACAAACTTCATACAATATTAAGATTCTAAAGTACTCAACTGGAAACAGACAACTGCCTTAACTTAGGTTGTTTGCCCTTACTTGAAATTGTAAGGGTAAAAATGCTGAATTACAGCATGTTGCTGCATGAACATAGTTCAGTTTTGGTCACTGAAAAAACGTCCTAGATGTTCAGGAGTTAATCCATTGATGGAAGCCAGACTGACTAGTGACGCCAGACACTGGGTGGCGGGAGGAATGACAGGTTGGCTTGAACTCCTCAGGCTGAGCAGCTGCACAACAGCTCGTGCCAGCACCAGGGAGGGACCATTCCGGTCTCGGAATATTCGAAGCAGCCAGGGGCAACTTTCTTTGGCAGCGGTGCCGTCCTAAGGTGCTCGCTGACTCCAGCATAACATGCAGCCCAGCACGCAGAATATCCAACCGCAATAGACCCAGCAAGACTCCAGCAGGAGAGCCCCCTGGCGAAAATTTATCTAAAGCTTGGGAGGTAACAGGTGATTGGAGAGAGTCTTGCCTCATCAAGGAAAAGTTCCACAACCTGCAGGTCTGAGTGCAGTCGGATGAGAATGCTCAGCCTCATGAGGCTTTACATCAAACTCGTTTTCTTTGTCTGGTAGGTAGTAACTGAGAGGGAGCTCAAAGGACCGCTTCCTTGGTGTAAAAGCAGAGCCTACCATAGAAACAGTACTGCTGCACTGCCAGACAGCAATCCTCTGGTTTTGAGTGAGGAGAAAAAGAACAGGTGCATTTATTTTTCCACACGGGCTGGCAAAATTCCCCCTTTAAAAAAAAAAAAATCCCCATTTGCTAGAACTGCATTACCCATTCAGAAAACAGAAGCAGGTAGTATGTTTCACACCAGGTCTTTGAAGACTAATATTAATCTTCTTATGACAACTGCTGTAAGAGAATTGAAATTGAGTATGTGAGCAGCTCTAGCCACCTAGTTAGGAACTAGCTCCTAGCAGTTAACATTTTGGTGACAGCGTAGTCCCTAAACCTCCAATCACAACAAGAACTTTGTTTATTCCAGATTAAGAAATCTGATAGAGATTATACCTGTTAAGAAATGTTCCTATAGTGTCTTCGGATACAGTTTAAGCAAGCTGAAAGCAGTGAACAGACATGGGATGTTTTCAAAGGGATTTTAACATTGGCAGAGGTGGTAAAAATTATTATATAAGGTTTTGTTTTGCAAATAGGTCCACTGAATTAGAAGAATAAACAGCAGGTTGTTTCTGCAACTGGCTCCCTGTAGCCACATTCCTAGCAGAAGGACACTAGGGCCAATAGGACACAGGAATCAACCACCCAAGTTGGACCGGTTTCAAGACTGAAGCCTTAGCTACTTCTTTGCAGTTTTTTACAGGAGGAGGGGGGCTGTGGGTGCTTCACTTGTAGTTACTGCAGTAGCAAAAATAGCAGATTGCTGCAAGTCTTCTAACCAGTCTGTTGTTCTGTCAACTGATTTTGAAAGATGAGCATTAAAATTGTTTTATATTCTGCATTAGAGAAATGCTGTTGCACTGAAGCAACCATAGGAAGTCCCTGCAAGACATAGGCTAAAGACACAGTGCAGATAAGCTCTAAGTCACTCCTTGAACACATTGCACAATAAATGTTGTCATAAGGATTATGACAGGAATTCCTACGGTAGCCAAATTCCCTTCAATTGTCACTTTATATCTCATTCTACAACTATAGTCACGGTGAGATAAAAAGAAATATTCACTGTACTGTTCATAAAACACGTAAATGGGTCTTAAGTACCTTGAAATTGGCCATTCCTACCAAGATGTATTATCACTAAATCATCTGTCTTCTTCTCTCCGCTTTTGATTTTCTAAAGCAACCCCGCTGCAACTGGTGGCAGAAGCTACCTCCTGGCCCCTTCAAACACTGATGAGCCCCTGTTTTTGCAACTGATGGACAGAATCAAGCTAGTATTAACGGGAGATGCTGTTTTATTGCATACCCTCACCACTTTTCCTTTCTCCTTCTGCACTGGTCTTTGTAAACATAGAGCAGTGAGTATAAGCATGGGTGGAGCACCCACTGGCATGCAAAAGAATTCCCTCTCCACTTCCAAGGAGGACCTCTGACAAATGTGCCCAGCCTCCAAGCCCATCTCTGGGCAGCGGTGGCATGCTCTGCCCTGGGGAGCGGGAACCAGGACCACCCAGGCTGAGCCGATTAGACTCCTCTGTGTACTTGGACTGCTCCATCTCCACAGACAAATGAAGAAAAAGCCCCAAACCAAACCATGCCAGAGAAGCAGGAATCAACCTGACAGCTGGCAGAGATACATGAACCCTTCTTCAAACCATTACAGCTTTGAATCAACAGGCAAAGTTCAGGCCCGTGGAGAAATAACCAACATATCACACAGGCAAGAAGTTGGACTGGGACTGCTTAACCCACAGCCTGTTCTTCTGTCAAACAGGTCCAGCTGACTGCAACTATTTCTTCCCCACATGCTCGTCATATGCCATTGCATGTCCCATGGCCGCGGGGTCACCTCAGCCAGCTGGTTGCAGCCGAGGAGTCTGCAGGCAGCTCCTGCTCAGCACCACCCACTGTGCCACCTGTGCATCCTTGCCCATGTCTAACAGTGCAGCCAGAACTTCTCACGTCAACAACCTTTAGGAGTAGAGTTGTTTTCTCGTAAGGAAATATATAATAGCTCAAAGGACCAGAAACGAGAAATGTCTCCACAGACAGGATCTGCACAGCATGCCGTGGGAAAATCCATGCAGGCTCCGACCAGTGCCGAGCCAATGCATGGTGCCCAGCATCGGAAGGGACATAAGGTTTACTCACTGTCTATATTCCTCTTTTTATTCTGTCTTATTAAAATGGCTATTATTTTATTAAGCCATTTTTTGTTGGACCTTTCTTCCCAAGATGCAGAAAGAGCCCTGCACCATCTCCCTCTCTCCCGCACTTCACCCCTCCCTGGGGCAGAATAATTACTAATTACAGGATCATTGCATTCAGCAAGAAGCTGCCGATACTGGGGAGTGAGATGGGAAAGAGGGAGTGTGGTGGGTTGACCCCAGTCAGCAGCTAAGCCCCCACCCAGTCGCTCACTCACTCCCCCCCAGCAGGAAGGGTGAAACCGAGAAAAAAAAAACAAACTCATGGGTTGAGATAAAGTAAGTTTAATTAGTGAAGAAAAAGAACAAAAATAAAAGTGATGCAAAGGCAATCACTCACCACCTCCCACCAGCAGACCAATGCCCAGCCAGTTTCCGAGCAACAGCTACTTTGGAAGAAACTATACCCGCCCCAGACCATTTTCATTGCTGAGCGTGATGCTACACGGTCTGGCATGTCCCTTTGGTCAGTTGGGGTTAGCTGTCCTGGCTGTTTCCCCTCTCACCCTCTTACCCACCCCCAGCCTATTTGCCGGGGGGCAGAGTGAGAAACAGAGAAGGCCTTGATGCTGTGCAAGCACTGTTCAGCGACAGCTAAAACACTGGTGCACTATCATCAACACTGTTTTGGTCACAAATCAAACGCAGCACCATCCAGGCTGCTATGGAGAAAGTTAATTCCATCCCAGCCAGACCCAGCACAGGGAGTGAAATGCACTTTGGGAAATCCTTAAACTGGCTTTATCTCTGAAGAACGAGTGAGGGTGCAAGTGCAGTGCCTTAAGTCTCACTAGAACTATCCCTAGCCTTCTCTGACTCATTTTCTCTCCCTCTTAATGAAGCTGTGGAGTGGCCTGGAAGCAGAAAGAGAAAAGAAAAATGACAGAAACTATAGCTTCGGCATGATTCAAAATACCACCGTGGGATCTGGAGTCAGTAGCATTACAGCAACCAAACTATTTTTTCTTTCTCTCTTCCAGGACAAGGACAAAGTGCTTCTGGTAGCATTTACTCACTGTAGCACACTCCTGGTTTGCTTCTGTTGAGATAAGCCCAGCATCTGTGGTACACGTTAAGAACATCTTCTACACATAAGAACAGAACAAAACGAATTTATGCTGCCCTTACCAGGAGCAAAGAGTGCAGCAGGGGGGAAAAAACCCAAAAAACAACTTTACTGTGCAACAACTCAGTCCAAGACAATAATCTAGATGAGACAGATGCGAACATTGCGGTCTGATTTTTCTGAAACCCCAAGGAGCTGCAGTTATAGGTCCTTTCCAAATAACACAACATTTATCCCAGAGAGAAGCTGAACATCCTCAGGCGTCCTCTGAGCCCCTCCAGCCAGCACCAAAAGTGGGAGCAGCCTTGTGGGGGTCAGCTCCCCCTGACCCCAGTGTGACTCGAACACACAACTTTCTGATCTGAAGTCAGACGTGCTGCCATTGCACCCTGAGGCCATGCCACCGCACCCCTTCCCCTGGCTACGGAGGGCCAAGTCTCCAGCGCTTTTCTGCCCAGGTGACACCTGTGCCAGCCTGTGCTGGCAGCATCCCTTGGCACCCACTGGTCCCTCTACATCCTTATCATTTCAGATGCCTTTTGCCAGGCATGTTTGGAATACGCACCCACAAGACTCCTGCAGGCAAACGCCACGTGAAGCACTAAACAGAGTAGGGGTGGGAGGGCCTCCTACAGCAGCCAAGCTGCATAAAATACCTGTCATACTCTTAGCACCCCCCTCTCTGCCGCAAATGTCTCACAGAAGAAAGCAAGTGAAGCAAGCAGGCCACTGTCAGTAAAGGTTTCAGTCTTAAAAGCACATTTGCAAAGGATCTGTGTTTCAGACAAGGAAGCGCAGGATTTTTTCTCCCAACAAAACCAGCCAAAGAATCAGATTTCCACACCCTTGGGTGTTTGTATTACTGTCATTGCTCACTGCTTCAAACCTTGCTGTTAGAGCACATATCGTTTATCCTACGCGTGATGTTCCCTGGTGTTACTCCCCATATTTGCCCAAATCCACACATTTTCTGCAACTGTAGTGCTTTCCACTAATTCAAGGTGAATTTAAACTGCCTGTAGCAGGAAAACACTCCAGTTGTCTTCTCTGGGATAAATTATCTCTGAAGCTGCAAGGAAGCATGAACATAGCTGCAGTTTGCTCACAGGAAACTTTAGCCATGGTTCTTTACAGCTTCTGGAAAAGCAAAACGTGTGTCTTCAAATGAACCATTCCCTCCTTCGCCCAGCTTCCAGCCTCTTCAGCACAGGCTCTTCTATCAAATTTTGTAGAAAAATACTCTTTCCATCACACACCCCCGCACATGCCACATTTAATCTCTGTGTACAAAACACACCTTCTGCTCTGGACTATGAGGTACCTGGAAGAGAGCCACACGAGGCTGTGGGATCTGAACACGTGGGGTCAGATCACTGTCCTTGTGCTGCAGAGGCTGCCTTGTCTCGCCCTCACAGCGGAGGCTGGCAGAGCCTTGCCTGTTACACACTGCATTTTCTTCAAGAAAGCTCCACCGTGCACATATGACACCCAGCGTAAGGAGCAAGACTTGCAGGGTGATTTGCATGCAGCCTTCAGATCCAGTGTCAGGCGTGCCACCAGTGGGCCACGAGGCCAGAGAAACAGACCCCGCGCACTTTGCCACTCGGGACGAACACCTCCAGCTCCCTCCTGCAGCCTTTCAGGAGGGGAACTGCTCGATGAATGCTCCTCCACCCTCATTGTCCAAAGACAGTAGGAACAAGGCTGGAGCAGAAAGCAGCATGGGAAGTAGCATCTCTTACCAGCCATGCCTGGGAAACACAGATAGAGATTTCTGGATTGCCACGTAATAATTCAGTCAACAGCAGCTAGACGGGCGATTTCACACAGCCACGAATTACACACAACTCTTCACAGAGCCAAAGGATGCCACCATGCCAGCCCCTGTAGTCGAAGCATCTGCAACGGGCTTTCTGCTGCTGCTACATTTATCGCCAATGCAGGACACTTACAGGGAAAACTATACCCTGTTTTCTGTAGCGATACATGATGCCCATAGTACACACAAGGAACCTCTGATAAAGAATATCCTGAACCCTGTCAGTTTTCTTTCTGGAGAAACTTGCAGAAAGGGGCTGACTGAACAAGTTTCACAATAAGGGGATTTGTGAGCAGCAGTCCCAAAAAGCAACACTTTAACTGAAGGCAGAGCACCTCCATCAGGGATAAGGTTTCCCTGACCGCTGGAATTACCATTTTGTCTTCAAAGATACAGAGCCTGAAATTTGAACCATGCACAAACACCCAAGCTTTTAATACTCACCTCAAATGACTTGTCTCTTGAAGAAGCACTACAGTTGTCAGACACCATTGACCCAAATGCCTTTTCCCCACGCCTGAAGCATTTGCATTTTACTCAGCACATCTTTCCATGCCTTTAAATAACAGCCACTTGTTACTTCTACTGATGTTACCAGATGAAAGAAAAGTGATGTCTTCGCCAGTAAGTATTCCAGTGGAACAAGCTTTCAGTGAACTACACTACGCTGAGTCAAGAGAAACAGGTAAATGTTAATAGTTTGCTTGCAAGAAACATCAGCACCATTTAGGATTTCAGCATATAAAAGCTGATGACCTAGCAAAGCCAGACGCTTTTTCTGCACATTGTGTCCCTCTAAACAACGACTGCAAAGTGACACAAGAGAAGCTTCCTAAGAGAGAGGGAGAGGCCAAGCACAGCGCGACTCAAAGACCCAACCCTACAATTTGGTAGCAGAAATACCATGACTGTGGTGCAAGAGCTAGCTTGTACCTAGCCCTTTTCTCTTCAGAGAAAACTTTTACAATTGACCATGCCTCTTCCAGGAAGAAAAAAAAAAAAACAAAACCCAAAAATTTGCAGTGTGATTTGCATCCTGCCTTCTGATCCACAGCCAGACAAGCTGCCATGGTGGCCCAGGAATACTTGCCTTCTTGTCTCCTTCCAGGACTAAATTTCTGTTTTCTTTCTTACCACACACGTAATATCAAGCTTTTTCGAGACGCCCTCTCTCTGATCTCACGTCCATTCCAAAGCAGCCCTGAGCCAGACATGCTTGGAGTTCGTGACCAGAGGATTCCTGACACGCGGTATATCGAATGTCATTTGTCACCAAAGAGGAGAGGGAAGGGACTTCATGTAACATCCAAACAACAAGAGTAATGCATCTCTACAAAACAATTCCTTTATCATTCCACACCACAGGCTTTGACAGCATGGCATCATATAGTAGTGGTGTTGAACTTGGAGCTTAGGACTATAAATGTTTAAACATACTTTTATTTCCTATCACGCTACCCTGACTTCTCATTCCAGCATTGGAGGGACTGGAATTTCCCTAGGAAAGAGCAAGAGAAACACGCTTTGGATACCATTTCAGCATAAAAGCACAATATGAAGACTTCACAGCACAGGCCTGTAATTCTGAACCAGGATGGAAGCAGATGACTCCCCAGCCTCTAGGTTACCCTGTTTTTCATTTTTACTTCATGTGCTTCATACCAGGAAGACATATTTAAATTGAAAGTGACTAAAGTCTAAGCTTTTTACTGAAAGAAAGTAGCATAGAGCATAGTTTGGCATGGAAAATGAATTTATGTTGTCAAATCTTCTCTTTTGTTCCTCTCTCTAACCCCCTCGAGACCTGTTTTTGTATTCATTGCCAACACGAACTTCTTGGTACCCTTTTAGTAAATGAAATATTCTTTACTTATTGCAGTAAATACTCTTAGGAGCACTGGTAGCACTGGTTGTTTACTGGTTCTCAGCCAAACCTCTGCTTTTGAAACCAACAACAACAACAAAAAGATTTTTGCTCAGCTTCCCTTAGCCCACGAATGCACGCCTAACATGGATTACTGCTTTTAAAATATGGTTCATCTTACATTCCCAGATTTCAGACCCTGGAAATGTATGTAACAGCTCAACTCTGAAAAACTGAGCCCTCTGAGGGGGGAGAGAATAGAGGACAACAGGGCAAAGCCGAGAGCGCCAGTTATATTTTAAATAAATTCATTGTTAAGGATAGTCTTTTTGGTCTTGCTGTTTGTCGCTTCTATTCTTAGGTTTTCTGAACTTTGGGACTTTTCCACGACCAGTTTTGGCTTTACAGACACTTCCATTTTTTACTCCATAAACCCAGCTGTGGACTGTTGGCCTAATTCAGCTCAAGATTTGAACTAGGAGGGCCATTCAAATTAGTCACAAAGTAAAAGAACCAGACCTTTGGAGGGGAAAATGCATGGTGAAATACTTCCTTCAGTCTCCTTCACACTTTAATTGCCCTTCCTCCATTGCTATGCTGGCTGGATACCACGGTTTTTTGTTCTGACCCCACTGACCTGCCTCGCAAACAGGAGGAGCTATTTACCAAAAGCCTTTACCAAGTCATGCCTGTTTTCAGTTGAACTCTAACCTAGCCATTGCTAAAATGCAGCACTACAAAGATTTAGTGCGATTCTTGCAAACTCGTTGGCCGTATAATGCTTGCTCCTCCACATTTCCAGCTGTTTCTTTACCCCTGCAAATAGGACTCTCTGACTTTATTCAAGATGTCTGGATGCAAGCAGACAGAGCCACTTCAACAGCCTCCAGGGGAAAATGCTGCTGCCCCAGAGGGATGTTTATGTAGCTGTTCTGGCAGGAGGGAAAACCAGGAAGACTATGGCTGTTATCAGGAGTGAAAATGCAAAATAGTACAGTTCTACTATCTAGCCCTAAGGGAAAGGAGATTTATTAGCAATGAATAAACAGGTTAGAAGCAACAATTGTTTCTTATTATTTATGCAACAGAACGAAAAAGCTATGTGGTTGCAGCTAGTGGCTGTGTACAAATGCAAAGCATATGCATATTATTGTTCAGATTGTTTTATCTAGAAGCTTTCTGGAGCAGTAACACTGCAAGAGCATTCAAGCTCTGCAAATCTTTCTTGATTTTTCTTTCTACAACGAGAAAGGCAAAGAGGATAATCTGCAAGAGTGGGAAGATAAGGATGTACAGAGGAGAAGCCACCATTACGGGAAGCAGGCAGCAATGTGGAGGTTTGCTTTGATCTTTGATTGCCAGAATCTCACCACAGAGATTAACGCACCTTCCTATACGAGGCGGGGAAGGTCAAGAAGGAAAACTTATTACGAAAGATTCTAAGTGGTAGGCTTGAAAGAGATAATCTTTCCAGCATTTCAGGTCACTGCTAACTCGGGAGAGAAACTTGTTATGGATGAAGGCACTGCTAGTGTTTGGCGTATCTATAAAGTAATAGACTAAGGAAAGCTATTGCCCAACATTGATACTCTCCTAACCATATAGAGGTGGTGAACTGAAAACCTCTTCATTGACATCAGGCAACAGTTACAGCACCCAGGACATCTGCGTACACAAGACACCTCTGCAATAGATGCACCAGGAGCTTTTTATGCTACAAAGCTGACAGCCGCGGGGATGACCTACATGCAAACTGCAAGAGGCACCACCCAATTCTTGCTGATCCCTTCGGTCTCGTCTGTTTAGACATTCTGGTGCAAGGACCTTCAACAAGTGCGGTATTTTTACCGCTCCGTATTACAAAACGAATTACACGGGGAAAAGGAAACAAACCTTAAAAAAAGAACAAACCCAGAACTTGGGCCTTGTTGGTAGACAAGCATTTTTCATCGCCTGTCACTTCCGTCCTACGAAATTGTAAGACCTCTGAGGAGCAAACCTCAACGGCCTCACTCAGCGTCTGCCCTGCAGATTACGATTTCTTTAGAAAATAAATGAACACCGCTGCCAGATGGCATTTAATGGTTCGCCCACCCCCTCCGGAGCGCCGCGCCGCGGAGCCTCCCCGGCCCGCCCCGCTGCCTCGCCTACCGG